CCCTTCATATTCATTTGCTTGAAAGCTCTGCTGCTGCTGCAGCTGCTGCTGCTGCTGCTGCTGCAGCTGCTGCTGCTGCTGCTTGTTCGTTGCTGCTGCCGGCTCATCTGCATGCAGCAGCAACAACACAAGAAAAACAGCTCTGCAGCAACAGATGCATAGAGGCATCAGGCCTGCTGCTGCTGCTTTTGCTGCAGCAGCAGCAGCAGCTGCTGCTGCTGCTACTGCAGCAGGGAAGGGTTTTCATTGGGGAGGCATGCAAAGGAGACACGGGAGATGTGTGCAGGTGTATATACACCGCAGCTTCATGTGCTGCTGCTGCTGCACCTACTCCTTTTCGATTTGCTGCAGTAGCAGCAGCGGTGTACGTGGGCCCTCTTGAACGTGCTGCAGCAGCAACAGCAGCAACAACAGGTGCTGCAGCAGCAGCAACTAAAGGTGTCTCTCTCTTGTGTTTCTTTATCCCTACTGGGAGAAGCCGCCGCTGCGGCTGCTGCTTCTGCTGCTGCTGCTGCTGCTTATGCTGCTGCTGCTGCCGCCTGCGCCTGCTGGCGTGTGCTGTTCTCGTTACTGCTGCGCACATATTGAGGTGTACAGACAGTAGAAATAACAAACAAAGGTATTTAAAATTAAAAAAATATATGTGTGTTGTAGTGCAAGGCTTTGCTGCTGCTGCTGCTGCAGCAGCAGCTGTTGCTGTTGCTGCTGCTGCTGCAGCGGGAGCAGCAGGGGGGCCGACCGTGCTGCTGCTGCTGCGCTGCTCTTCTACCTTGAAGTAATGCTTCTTAAGGATGCAGATTAATTTTCTCTCTTCAGTTGCATTAACAAACTTTGCTGCTGCTGTTTTGCTGCTGCAGCGCCGCCCCATAGTAGCAGAAGGCAGCTGCTGCTGAGGCCCCTCGATTCGGCGGCGCCTCTGCTGTTGCTGCTGCTGTTGCTGCTGAGGCTGCTGCAGCAACAGCGAAACTGAGCTGCAGCAGGAGCTGGTTCAGATGCAGCTTGCATCAACCACACCTACAGCAACAGCAGCAACAGCAACAGCAGCAGCAGCAGCGCCGACAGCAACTGCTCAGGGGGCCCCCGGGGGCCTAGGGGAAGTATTGATGAGAGGTGGGAAGGTAGATCGAAACAGCAGCAGCAGCAGTAGCAGCAGCAGCAGGAGTAGCAGCAGCAGCAGTAGCAATGTTGCAGGCCAGTAGACAACTTGTGGGGGGCGGCGCCTGCTGCTCGTCATGGGCTTGCTGCAGCTCAGCAGCAGCAGCAGCCGCAGCAGCAGCAGCAGCAGCAATGCAGTGCTCCTTGAAGGATATTAGACTCAGGCAAATACACTCAAGGGTCCACTTTGCTGCTCCTGCTGCTGCTGCTGCTGCTTCAACTCGGCAGCAGCAGCAGCAGCAGCAGCAGATTTGGCGGCATCGCTGCAGCAGCCCTTGCTTTATTTCTCAGCATCGCTGTTTTTCTGAAGCCTCTGTATCTCAAGGAGCAGCAGCTGCAGCAGCAAATGCAGCACCAGCAGCAGCAGCAGCAGCAGCAGCAGCGCGCAGCATCCTGGGAGGTTCGGTGCATGCAGAGCCACCCGCAGGCCCTGCAGCAGCAGCAGCAGCAGCACATTCAGTTTGGGGTTTGCCGTTTGCTGAGGCAGATGTTCTGACGCCTTTGCTGCTGCAGCTGGGCTCCCCAGCAGCAGACTCAGCAGCAGCAGCAGCAGGTGCAGCAGCAGCAGGAGGTGAAGCAGCAGCAGCAACAGCAGGCTATCAAGAGGCGCTAAAGCAGATTAATAGTTTACAGATGCAGCAGAGGTGGCAGCTATTTGCTGCTGCTCCTCTATGCGGCGTGCTGCTGCCTGCTGCATTCCTGCGGCAGCAGCTGCAGCAGCTGCAGCAGCAGCTGCAGCAAGACCTTCTAGAGGCCCCCCAGATTTCAAACACTCTGCGGTGCGTTGCTTTGGCTTTAGCTCTGGGAAGCCCGGGGCCCCCCGCAGCAGCAGCAGCAGCAGCAGATCATACAGCAGCAGCAGCAGCAGCAGCAGCAGAATTCCACGCGTTGCTGAAGCAGCTGCTGAGGCAGGCTGGTAGTGAGTTGCCCTTCAGCGGCAGCTGTGCTGCTGCCGCTGCTCTGTCTGTTGCTGCAGCAACTGCAGCAAAACGAGCAGCAGCAGCACCAGCTGCTGCTGCTGCAGATGCAGAGTCTCTGGCTGCTGCTGTATCTCTTGTCTCCGAGTTGGTTGCGGTTTGCAGCAGCAACGAAATTCATCTCTCCTTAGACTGTCTGCTGCTGCTGCGGGTAGCCCTAGAGCTACTCAGCTGCTGCTGCAGCAGCAGCAGCAGCAGCAGCAGCATCAGCAGCGGGGTCTGTGAAGGCCAGAGCGACTTGTGGCTGCAGCAGCTACCGGGGTTTGCTGCTGCTGCTGCTGCATTTCTGCGCTGCGTTGTGCTGCATCCACACGTTGCACTCCCGCTGCCTCCAGAGCAGCTGCAGCAGCAGCAGCAGCAGCAGGAGCAGCAGCAGGTGCATGATGACTTCTTAGAGGCAGACGACTTGCAGCAGCAGCAGCAACAGCAGCAGCAGCAGCAGGAAGAAGCAGCAGCAGCAACAGACAGGGCACCGCGACACGTGGGCCCCTTCGTCTGGACTTGTAGAAACGCAGCGAGAAGGGTAAG